TGCTGAAACAACAGAGGATGTCAGGAGGTCAAAGCAAGTGCAAAGATGATAGACAACAAAAATGACACGGATCCCTCTTACAGTATTGGGGATTGTGGGTTTTAGTAGTTTTGCCATGTAATTGTGGAATGCAAGGAGAGGGCTCTATATGGCTGATGATCAGTTGGTGTGAGATCCCAGCTCTGGATCTGCGGTCTGGAAGACTTGCAGTTCATTTCAGTGGGGTTCATTCCCTCTCTGTAGAGCTGGCTAATTTCATTTAGGGTATTTTACTGTTCTGTTGGCATGAGTTGCTCCTGCAGGCCTTGTTCTCCCAACAGCACACTTTTCTTGTGAGCAGATGGCAGAACCAGCCCTCTGCTTAATGCAACATGGAAAACCCACAGTGCAGGTTGTAGAATCCAGGGCCTGGCCGGAGCCAGGCTGAGGCAGGAGTTGAAGAGCCACTTCTGTTTGTGTCGGTGTCTGTGTTACAGACGTAGAGTCTACACGTATGGCATAGGAACACGTATACGGATCTTTTCAGGGAGCCGTTACTTAGGTTGGTTTGAAGATGGTTGTTGTATGGGGTAAGTGGCAGGGGGACAGCGAGGAACGTCCATCAGCAGGGTCCTCCTCTTCACACAACCACCCAACGTGCAAACCTGGTGTTCCTCGGTGAGCGGCTGATGCGGTCGAGTGTTCAGCGCTGGGTGTAAGCAGAAACAAAAGCACTTCAGTGCATTTTACGCTTTTACTGTCAACAACTGCTGCAGAGACAAGTTCGGGTACAGCTGAGGCTGGCGGCCAGGTGCTGAATTCCAGAACTGCTCACGTTTTTGATGCCTGCGGGGAGAGAACTTGACTGGGCAGAAGAGAGAAGGCTGTAATGTCTCGGGCAGAGCATCAGCTGCCAGAGATGAGCTGCTGAGATACCTGGCCATTTATTTTATTGAAATATTCACATCTAATTAATAAAAAGTTGACTCTTAACCCCTTCTGCATCTAACTGTGACACTGGATGGCACCCCTTCCCAATTCTAAAACCTCAAGATCAGTCTCTGTTTTAGGAGAAGTGGCTTTCTTACTCAAGCCTACGGGAGGGTATTTTGCCCAAGAACCTGACCAGTCACGAGGAGAAGAAAACAGCCAACCAAACTGGTTGCAGGTTTCCTTTCAGCCCTATCTGCAGCGCAGCTTTGTGCTAACCAGAATGGTACAAACATTTGATGCTGCTCTCTCAGATCCTGCTTTAGTTTCGTTCTTGTAAATGTCATTTTCTTGCTGCGTGCCAGCTGCCTTACAGCTCCCTCGGTTAGCCAAGTGTCATCTGCGTCCCACAGTATAATTAGGTACTTAAAAAGGGGGAAGGAGAGGTGAGGAAGAGAAGAGAGTGGTTGCTTTGCCTTTTACTCTATTGGAGTACTTGAAATTCCTCACATTCTTCTCCCGTTAACAGTATGTTTACTTTTCATCACTGGGTTATTAGGATTAACAAAGTCATTGCTTCAAGCTCATTTAATTTGAATTTAGTGAAAGCAAACTGCCTCCTGCAGACTGCAGAAAACATTCTTCTGCCACAGAAGTGTATTAATTTGCAAAAAAGCAGCCACCAAAAAATGCGAGAGCTGACAACCACTTCCACCCTGGTGTTCGATACCGGCGTGCATGCCCTGCATGCTAATGAAGTACCTTATGTTGCAAATTCCAGGACGGTTTGAATAATCTGACAGTCTAATTAACATCTCAGTCTCTATCAAACATTTGCTTTCAATCCTGAGATGCTTTTTCTGCATATCCTTTCTAGAGCAGGGGGTTGCAGACTTCAGAAATGTCATTTATCCAAAGAATTGGGCTCAGCTGTCTGGTTCCTTGCTGCATCTGTAGTAGAGCTTGGTTTAGTTTCCAGAACGCAAGGTTTTTACAGGAAGCTCTTGTATTTAAGGCTGTGGCCTATGAGAATGCTCTACTAAAAGCAGTTAGGTAAATATTTCTTTATTAAATGATTAATTCCATAAATAAAATTCTTTTAATTCACTGAATATAAAATTAAAATCATTTACAACTTATTCCAGTATTACAGGGGCTGGAAGGGGCAAAAAAAAAAATTCAAAGAAAAACAAAAAAAAGCTACAGTTTGATAAATAAAATACTCAGCTTTAAAACAACTGATTTCTGTTTGCCATTAAACTACAGTTGGTACATAATAGCTGCCACTGTGGACACCCTGCAAGTGCCCACCTCAGGAAGGAATGTAACTTCCAAGTTGGTTGGGAAAGGGTGGGAGAAGATGGAGGGGAGAAGCATAGTGTTAAATTGAACAGGACAGAAAAGAAGTTTTCATAACCGGAACAAAACACTTATCTGATCACGTACAAACAGAAAACAGTCTATCACTAGGTAAGGTGCTCCAAAAAGAAGCAGTAAAGTTGCTCCAGTACTATGAAGCTTTAAGTATGCTTAAATCTCTGTCGCATTAGTGTCCAGTTGCACAGTGCACTCTTGTGACGTCTCAATGTTGCCCTCACATGGGCAAGGCACCATTTCCACCGTCAAAGGTCCTTTCTCCATGGCTGGCTGCTTCAAAATTCTGTTTAGCATCCCACCCCCAACACAGCTCAGTCCCTAAATTTGTGGATGTCGTTGACTAGTCTGTAGAAGGGATAAGCTTCGTTTGCATGCGGACAGTTGTAGTTGCATCGGCAGGACTGGATCATCATCACGCTCTTGGTGAAGGTTTCCCCATCGTCGCAGCGGAACCGGATCTTGACAGTCCTGGTCTGCTGGGGCGTGCAGCATCTGCCGTCCACGCAGGAGCCGCAGTACTTGGGGCGGTACTTCTTCACGCTGGAACATCCAGCGTAAGTAAACTTCACTGGGGATGGGGACTTCCTGGTCTTGGTGCATTTTTTCCCCTTCTGTAAAGGAAAGACAATAATGTTATTAGCAAGAGGTTGTTCTCCATGCCTTTGCCCCCTACCCAAAGCAGTTTGGAAAGAGGAGCTGCACTGGAAGAGTCTGTGTTTACCTTTAGGGAGGCATAGCTAGGCTGGCCGCATGGCCTCACTTCACATATCCTGGTCTCTTTGATGAGCTTGCAGTCGGGGTTGTCGTTGGTCACCCTTGTGGAGATGCCAGTTCCACACGTCTTTGAGCACTGGGACCAGGAGGTTGTTTGTACAATGCATTTGGGATTCTCAAAAGCTCGGCTTTGTGGCTCGGATCCAAAAACTGGAAAATAAAAGGAGAGCTTAGCCTAAATAGCTCCTCTCTCACAGGGTTTCTTTCTTTCCGTCGGGCTCTAAGGAACCCTATAGCGCTCCTCCCACCTCCTCCCCTCAACTGTCACTGTCACACAGATTAGCCCACACTCACCAGGTAGCATTTTCAGGCCTCCCTTCACAATGGCAATCAGCTCGTTGTTCCTAGTTAGTTCCCCTTCAGAGTCGTCCAGACCAAACTCTTTGCTGAAGAAGCCTTCCAGCTCGTCCAGCGCATCCTTGCTGTCGTCGCAGACCCACTCCTCGCAGCACTGCCCGGGGACCTTGACCAGCCTGGGGCTGGGACAGCCCAGGTTAGGCAGAGAGAGCTCTTGCGGGCAGAGCGGGATGCAGCCCACAGCTCCATCTATGCACGTACACTGGTGCTTGCAGTTCGGCTGGAAGCTCTCGCCGTTCTGGTAGATTTTGGAGTTGTATTCACACGGTCTCCCCTCGGACTGCGCTGCAGAGATCAACAGAGAGGGAAAGGAGGGCGTCAGCAGCGGGAATCGCTCGTTTAAGCACAGGTATTTGCTGCTCCGTTAAATTCAATTTACGGCGGAGCCCCCTGCGATCCCCGGGGACGCGGGGCCAGAACAATAAGTCAGTCAGGAATCACTTTTCCTTATGTGCGTTCAGCGGAGCCCAGACACTGAATCGCATTCCAGACCGCTGAAGTCATGTGCCTTTCTGCCAAGCTACCGACAACAAAGCATAACCATACATGGACGCGAAATTACCAAACTTCGGCACTACGGGGAGCGGGGTTTTCTCCCGGGGGAGGTGGGGTGCGAGCCGCTTACCTCTGCAGATGCCCTTGAGCGCGGCGGGGCTGGCGCCAAAGTTGCACTCCAGCCCCTTGGTGTGGTCGCACGGGTGCACCCGGCTGCAGTCCTCGTTCAGCTGCTTGGCGCAGACCT